TCTTTCTTGATTTTAATTTGTCCCTTATGATCCTTTTACTGGCGATCTCCTCTTGTTGAATACATGTAATTGGACCAAGTGTCTTCTCTTAGCTGAACCTCAAGGTCTGACTAAGCGATACGTTAAATTTTCGCTGACTTCCCTCTTCCAATTTCCCTTTAATCAGATTTCTTTGAAAGAAAATGTCTACGGCTTCCTTGATCTTCCGTCTTCAGTATTTGGTTGCACTCTGGTCAATGTCGTGGTCGGTAAGGGCAATGTGTTCTTTGGTTCTTGCTCTGATTCTCTTTCCAGTCTCTATGATGCACTTTTGTTTACAGACCTTTCAGTTTATGCCGTAAACTCTGGAATACTCCATTTTGTTAACTTTTTCATGTTGTGTGAACAGGCTTGTGAGGATATGCCTTTTTTGGCGGAGTTATTGAGGCATATTTACATTCTTCGCTGGTTCCTACATCCACCCACACTGTACAGGAGATGCTGATCCATGTTTGCCCTTTTAGTCGGCAATCCTGTTCATCCAGGTCCCATCGGAATCTCTATTTTTCTCCGTAAATTCTGAACATACCGAGCCCATGGCTAATGCAAGATACTATGTAGATTGGTCCGTATCCTTTGTAGGATACGGAGACTTTACATCAAAGGGCAGAATTAGGAGGCCTATAAAAATTAACAAAACAACTAGCACCCTGAATAAGAAAAACGAATTTAGCAAATTGAATACGTACTATTTATGGCTGTTAGATAGGAATGAGCAGGAAGAATCACTAAACAAGAAGAGGATGAAATAGCCTTCAGTCTGGCTAGAGCTAACTAAATCATAGGATGTTTCATTAAGATCGCAAGACTAAGCATATGACATGACATGAACATTACATACACACAGAATACAATAGCGCATACCTAAGCATGAGCGTACATTAGAGGATCGTCTTCTAGTCTATTTGTGTAAGAAAACAGCTGACAACGCATTCATGAATTCACTTTATTCATCTGCAAGCACGCAGAGTAAGTTTTGGGCAGCTAAATCATAGACTGCTTCATTAAAATCCCAAGACTAAGTATAAGGGGAGACTACGGTAGCAGCGTTATTTCGTAAAGGGAGTCCTGCTCTGATGACGTCTGTCACAGTACAGATGAAAACTTAGCACGGATTCATCAGTCGCAGAACGGTGAGACGAGGACTCATTTGCACAGTCCAACAGTGTTTACTCCGCGGCAATCCTCCTTCGGTTTCCGGTGAGACAAATCCACAAATTCTTTTCAACTAACGTTTCCCTCGAAATGCGAAGCGGAGTCATAATAAACCTCGAAGGGATTCTTCGAAACAGCTTTTGTTCATATATGTGAAAGGAGGATATCCTAGAAACAAGGCGGATACGGAAAGGGTCTTTAAAACGACTAATCAACCTGAAAATAAGGACAAGACACTTACTATTCATCAGGAATGTCTATAAGCAAATAATTGGACTGCCAAAGGGATCTCTATTATGTGCATGGACGAATTGGAAAATGAATTCGAGAAATCCCCTCTATAACCAAGAGTATTAATGGACTATCTGGATGACTGCTTTGCACTTTAGTTACATGGAAGGAGAATTC